CAGGTCCTAGCAATGAATGCAAGCACAGCAATATTTGTTATCTTCATGACAGGGCTGTTTATTTAGACCTCACTTGAATATGTTTTCTTCTGAATTTTTTGTTCCTGTTTATTTCAGCAAACAGTTCCTGGTTAGATGCTTTTCCCTACACTTTCTTAACAGCCTCAGAGAGTTTATGAACAGGACATCTGCTGGAATGGCTTCATCCTGCCCTTGTCCCTACATGCCCACAGCATGGACAAGGACAACCTGAGGTTGGAGTCTGCCACCAGCTGCTCTCCAGCCATCTCCCCCAGCTGAGCACTTCACCTTTCATCACATAGCTATTGCCGCCCACATGTGATTGCCCCATGTGCCTTCCCCTGCCCCTCTCCCTGCAGGTTCCCTGGGGCCAGGCTGACTCATGTGCAGGATGCGACCTTCCCTGCTGCATGGGGGCTCCTCCTGCCAAGTGCTTGAGAAGAGATATGGACATCGGATCAAAAGCTGCTTCCAAGCTCTTCCCAGGGTGGTGGGAATGAGGAGCTCTGTTTCAGGGAGCAACACTTTTGAGGCTTGTGTGCCTGCATGGTTCAGGCAAAAGGCAAACACCTCCTGGCTCTGCAGGGGCTGATATTTTCCTCCTGCAGCCCGTGCCAGTGATGCCGTGGGGGATGCTATGCCCCCAAACCAGTCCTGACCCCCTCCCCCAAAAAAGCTGGCAGCAGCTCCTGGGCATTTACTCTGCAAGCTGGACCCTCTCCAAAATCACACTTCTTGGGGTCTCTCTGCAAAGGGGCACGTGAACCTGCAGCCAAACTCCCAATGCAGGGGATGAAACCCTTCTCCCTGCCTCTCCCGTCAGAGCTCATGCCCCGTGCTGCTGCCCGGCATCGCTGCATGCTGCCAAACAGCAGCTCTGCCTGTCCTGGGGCTGGCTGCATTTCAGAGGTGTACAAAGTGGTCCTGCTGTAGGCAGATTTGCAGATCCTTCTGGATGAGAAGGGGGCTAGAAAAATGTCAGCTCATCATTTTCAGCAAGCAGCGAGTGCTGTTCTGGTAATAGGGAGTGGGGCGGTGCATGCCTCAGTGTGGGCCTGCCGGATCGATACGGAGATCAGAGGCAGGAGTGGACGTCGGAGCTTATGATGACTGAGCAGATATTGGACCATGGATCTCTTTCTGGTTATGCCTCGAAGGGCTGTGGTGTTTGCTGGCCCCGGGAGGCAAGTGGTGCATTGGGGAGCCTTTACCTGGGAAGTGGGTGGCAGGAGGAAAGATCCTCCCTGAGGGATGGCCAGCCTGAGAGCATGATGCTAAAGGCAGCTGTGTAGGTGGGAAGAACAGAAATGCAAACAAAACAGCTGCCTCCACCTCTGTTCGGGCCAGGAGCCCCCTGGGCATGTCCTGGCCCCGCTCCTTCTGGGCTGGGTGTTTCGGTAGCAACCTGTGTCTCCATGCAGAGGGCAGCTGGGATGGGGGAGATGGGGACCTCACTGCAGAGGAACTGGGGTTTAGTCTCAGCTGAGTGCATCCCATGGAATTTCTGGAGGCTCTCAAAAGCCAGAGGGAACTCATCCCCTGAGCCCCTGTGGGGCAGAGTTCTCACAGGAGGCACTGATTTCATCCTTCATGGAGATGCTTCTTGAAAGAGCAATTTGCCAGCATCCCTCAGAGCAATAACGGCAAGGCCTCTGCTCGAGATACCATCTCTGCGCTCTGACAGCCCCATCACTCATGCCCTGCTCCTGCCTCCCTCTTTCATGGGGACAGGAGTGAGGGATGGAGACAGGGATGGCACGTTCCCACCACTGGCAGCTCCCAAATACTCCCATCCCTTTTTGGGTCTGGGTGTGCAAGAGGTAGTGCTGCCCTCCCTGAGCATCCTCTTCCATCTGTCCAAGGACCGGTGAGGGGTGGTGGGTTCAAGCGTGGGACGCAGGACCAGGGGCTGCCCAGGTCTGGTGCTGGGTGAAGGTTGGTGACCCGTCTGCTCTCTGCAGCAGGGACTTTGCTGTCGCTGCAGTCTCTTCTGCCAGCAGACTCGCCAATCCCCCCTGGCAGCCTGCAATGGGGAGGATGAACAGCCCCCTGGTTTCTTTCTTTCCCTGTCCACCTTCCGCCTGCCCTCCGGGCACCCAGCTGGATGCTCCTGCTCCTCCCATTCCCGCGCTTTGCCCGGCCACGTTTTCTCTGCAAGCGGCAGCTTTATCTATTAGCGGCAGAGGAAGCCGTGGCTTGGCACAAAACCTCCTCATCAGCTGCTGAAGCGGGGCCCGCCTGGCACCGGGTGGCAGAGCAGGGTGTGCATATCATGGGGGTGGGTGGGCTCCTGCATCCCCCCAACCTGGGACAGCCGACCTGAGACCTCCCCAACTTTCTGCGGGTTAAACCTTGTCTTTGCATGGAGAGTGCAAAGCACCTACCTGCCCGCCTCCGGTTGCAGAGGAGGACCTGAAAACCTCTCTGGGTGGGTTTGTACTTCGTTAGCAGTCGTGCTCTGCTCCAGGCCAGGGGTCGACCCCACGCCCTGGGGGACAGAGGAACACAGGGCAGGCTGCCACCCTGGTGGGCGAGGAGGGTGCAGAGTGCTCATGCACGCAGCCCCGCGCCAAGCAGTGCCACCCTGGCACTTCCAGGTGACAGTGGCTTTCCCCAGGTCCCGGCACTGATCTGCCTAGAGGAGTCTTGCTGTGCTGCGGGACTGCAGTGGGTCCCCAAGGCGGGTGTGTGCCCCCAAACATGTCCCCACCCTGTGACTGGCCCTGCGGTAACATGCCAGGGTAGGCTGATGGCCTCACACTGGTTTCACACTTGATGTCAAGTGCCACGAGAAGGTTGTGACCTTGCACCAGCTTCAGTACGAGGGAAGCCCTGGTCTTGCCCCAGGCACTGGTTTTGTGAGTAGTGTGACATCTCTGTCCCCTGTGCTGCTGAGGGATGAACCCACATGCTGGCTAGGCATTTTGGGGTGCCTAGTGTTCCTCGCTGGCAGGGGCATATGACATGGTGCCCTCCATCAGTGTCCTCTCCAGTCCAGTTGCAGTGCTGAGCCACAAGAATGGCATTTATCTGACCTGGGTGGGGAAACTGAGGCAGGGAGTAAAAAGTATGCTTGGGTGTTCTCCTCTCTGGTGCCTTTCCAGCCACAGCCTCTGTACAGGTGCCTGAGGATGGAAGCCGCTTCTCATGGGGCTGGGAACCCACCAACCCCCTTGTACTCCTCTTCCTTGCAGTGCCAGGCACTTAGTAACCTCTTTGATCCAGGTGTTTCACTTCAGTAGTTTGCAAGCAGGCGGGGCTCAGGGAGAAACCAGCTCTCCCACCTTGGTATTTATTCACTAGATGAGTATCCCTGCTTCTTCTGGGGAGCCCTGGCAGGAGGAGCTCTAACAAAGCTGCTTGGTACCCCAGAAGTTCCTGTGGGAGCAGGACTGATGCCTGGTATGTGTAGCCCCTTGCACATCGCTGCTGTTCCTAGGGCCTGTGATAAGGCTGTGCAGCTATGGGTGAGGAGTTACCCAAGCGTGAGCCCTGCTTGTGCCCTGCTGGGACGGGCTCCCCACGAGCATGGCTGTGAGCAGCCTGCTTCCCACTGAGGGGTATGAGTGCATAAATTGTGGTTTTAATCCTCCCTGCAGCTGCTCCCCCCCCCCCTTTTTTACCCCCAAATCCTGTTGCCTCTTCTGGACTAGGATGATTTGGGGTGCATAGCAGAGCCTGGAGGTGTTGGTTCAGCCCATGCAGAGATCCCTCTCTCTCTCCTCCCTGTGCAAAGCCCTGTGCCTGGCAGAAGCCAACCCTTGAAATATTTGGAGTCCTACACCTGTAATTCCTCCCTTCACCCGTGCTCCAGCCTGCAGCACTGTCCCTTTATCACTGTGTCTCTGTGCAGAGGAGCAGAGACATGAAACTATTGGGGGGGGGAGGCATGCAGAAAAGCGCTGTAGAAAAGCAGAGCAAATTAAGCAGAGCTCTGATCTGCTTGGGTTTGTGCTTGCCAAAAATGCACCATGCATCTTAATTCGCTCTGCTGTTCAGCTCGCACTCACTGCTCTCCTGATGCCATTTCGGTGCTCTGAGCTCAGCCTTTTCAACACTTCAGTCTTCCTCTTTCAGGTTTTTTTTTTTTTTTTTTTTTTTTTTTTTTGCATGTCTGATTGCAGGATCTGCTGCAGGAGGGAAGGGGGAAGCCAGGGGAGGGAGGACGGGAGCCCCGACCCTGGGTGCTCCTGCCTGCGCTTCCCGGCAGTCGGCTGAGTCCCCGTTGCATTTTGGAGGCGGGTGTGTGTGTGTGTGCGTGTGTGTCTTTTCTAGAAAGTCCTTCCTGGGTGCTCTCCAGTCGCTTTTTTTTTTTCCCACCCAGCCGTCTGATCTGCGTCTCGCTAGGATCCTCTTAAGAAAAAAAAAAAAAAATTGCTGTAATCCACACTGGCTTTTATTCTCTTCCAGTTCAGTTTAATCTTTCTTTCCTTTCCACCCTTGTGTCCGGATTGCGGGGCGGGGGGGAACCCACCCAACAACCAAGCGAAAAGCAGCATCGTCCTCCTCCTAAAGACGAAAGAGCCTGAGAAAGCAGGAGCCGAGCCAGAGCCCCTCTCCTCTCCCCCCAGCACAAATTTAACCCCAGCTGCAACTTTTCCTTTGCTGGCGGGGCTGAGCTGGGGCTCCAGCAGTGCTGGGGTGGGTTTTTCCCCTCTCTCCCTCCCCTCCCCTAGATTGATTTTAGCGGAGAGGGGGGTGGGGAATCCTTTTTATTGCAGAGCCCGGCTCGCTTTGCGAGCCTTCCTCCTCCTCCTTCTTCTCCTCCTCCTCCCCTGCTTTTTTGTGCCCGCCGCAGCAGGGCTGGCCAGGCCGGGGGAGGGAAGCGATGGGAAGGGGAGGTCGCCCCCTCCTCTCCCTCTGTGTGTTTTTTTTGCAGGTGTGTCAATTTTAATTCTGCCCAGTAGGTGGGACTTGGTGACTTTCGCACCGTTTTTGTTATTTATTTATTTCGCCGGCAGCCTCCCCAGCCTCCCGTTGCAATCCTCCGGAGCGGCTGGCGGGGAGCGGCGGGCGGCGGGCGCAGGGCGGCCGGGCCAGCATGCATCCCCGCCCGCTGCCGCTGCCGCTACCGTAGCGGGAATTACAGCCTCTCCGAGCCAGCGGCCAGCATGATTTCATCTGCTGGAGGATTTTTGCATCTGATCGCTTGAGGTTTTGTTGGGGTTTTTTTGGGTTTTTGTTTTTTTTTTTTTTGTTTTGTTTTTTTTTCCTCCCTCTGTCTTTGTTTCCTTCCCCCTTTCCCCCCCTTCCCCTCCCTCCATCCCCCCTTTCCTCCTCCTCCTCTTTTTTAGAAGCAGCAATCGGAGATGGATGTCTCTCTTTGCCCTACCAAGTGCACTTTCTGGAGGGTATTTTTGCTCTGGAGCATTTGGGGAGACTATCTGCTTTCGGTGCTGGCTTGCCCTGCTAATTGTCTTTGCAGCAAGACAGACATCAATTGCAAGAAACCGGATGATGGGAACCTCTTCCCTCTCTTGGAAGGGCAGGATTCAGGCAGCAGCAATGGCAACACGAGCATCAATATCACGGACATCTCAAGGAACATCACTTCCATGTAAGTGGGGGTGTCCCCGTCCCCCCCGTTCCCCCCCGCGGGTTCTCCCGGCGGCAGGGTGCGGGCTGGGCTGCCGGTGCGGGGCTCAGGTGCCCTCGGCATTGCTGCGCTGCCTGGCAGAGCTCAGCCCGGCTTCCCGTGCAGAGGACGCAGATCCGGCTTTCCCCCTTACCCCCCCCCCCCCAAAAAAAAAAAAAGCCCAGCAACAGTTTGGCCGAGGCTTAAGAAGAATAAAGTAAATGAGATCTGATTCCTTAGCAGGAGAGAGAGCAGCAGGCAAAGATGCTAAAGCTGCTGCTTCCTTCAAGTGTTTGCTTCTGCAAGGGGAGGGGGGACGCCACAGCCACACGCAGCCACATATTTACCCAAATTGGGCAAGAAAAGCAAGTTCTGAGCTGCTTGTTCTTTTTCGAGACTTTGGATCCGATTAGAATGTCATTTTTTTTCATCCCCACGACAGAAAATGCTCCCTTCCCTGCCCTGGCTGAGTGTATCTGGGGATCTGCGGTTTCGCCTTTTTAAGGGGAGGCAGAAAAAAACAGGACAGCGAGATGTCCCTTAAGTAGCTTATTTAACTCGCATTGTTATAATTTTGCAACTTGCCGTGGTGCTGCGATAGGGTTTGTGTGTTCTCGTCTCGGGGTGGTGGCAGTGGGGAGAAGCATCGGAGCAGGGAGATATTTTTAGTTGAGCACTTTGCGTTTGTTTGCATGCTTGTTTATCTGGAAAATCAACTTGAAGTTGCATTATCCTTGTTTGGAGAGGCAGTTAGCAAAGCCCATGTTAATCTCATCAGCATGGAGTCGAGAAAGGAATATATTTCCTTCTCCTGAATCCATCATGCTGTGTGTGTGCAGAAAAAAAAAAAATTCCTCATCTTTTCCAATCTCCGCTCTTTATTTTCCAGTACATTTTTGGGTGAGATGAACTCTGAGCCGTTTCATTATTCTAATGCTAATTGAAATGTGAGCATTTAGGGAAATGTAGCCCCCAGAGCAAGTTGGCAGTGGGAGTTGAGCAAGGAAGAGGTGGAATCCTTTATTCTGGCAGTTAAATGCAGCAAGGTTTGAAATGAGTAATGGAGGATTATTTTTTTTTTTTTTTTCACCTCGATGGCACAGTTGCAGGAGGGAGCAGGCTTTGCCCGGTCTCTTCCTGAGGCTGTTTTATTTGGTCACAGTGCAATTGCAGCAGAGCCATGGAGTAATTGCAGTGCCTGTTTCGCAGCTCTGCTCGTCACCTTTGCTGGGTAAAGATGACAGGAGCTGCTTTCCCTGCTTGCTTACAGGTTCACGCCATGCCCAAGCAGGTTTTCAGCAGATACCACTGACCCTGAACCCCCAGCCCTGCCTTCACTTTGCCAGCAAACCTCTGAAAACCCAGCAGGAATGGGGAAAGTAAATGGGGAAACTAATGCAATGCTCCCCTTCCAATTGCCCAATATTTATCCTGTGTTGTGGTGCTGGAGTGTTTTCTCTGTGATGCCGGAGGGAGGTGGGTGATGCTGGGGAAGTCAGAGAAACTCATGTTTTTTTCCTGGGCTTGCTGTTTGTTGTGGTTTGGGTTTAACCCTTTGGGGAGCGGGGAGCAGCAGGAAAGGCTGCGAAGGGTTTGGAAGCCACCAGCGTGAGTGAGTGAGTGTGCGTTGTCAGATGCACACATACATCTGAACTGCTGTGAGAGGTAGTATTATATGAGTCCTTTGTGCCCAGAAGATGTCTTTACTGCTTTGAAATTGAAAAATGCTGATAAGCAGTCTATAAAAAGGAGAGGGGCAAAAAAAAAAAAAAAAGAAAACCGGACAACTCCAGAAACAGAGATGTTGGGTATTTTTTTGGAAAGAAGCTTCTCTTAAGTTGGGGAAGGAGAAGGTGCCAGTCTTGCTGGAATTTGTATGCATCTCTGCTCCACACTGAGCAAAGCATGTTCCCTCACCCTCTGCATCACTGCCGGCCCCGTGCCTGCCTCCTCGGGCTTGGGGGGGCCGAGGCACAGGACTAGGGTGAACCCCAAAATGCTGTGAGGGGCTGAGACTGAGCATGAGTGAAAACTTTCCCCAGGGGTCTGTGCTTACTGGGAAGACACCAGTGGTTCGTAGGGGATGCTTATGGGAGCAGAGGGATGGTTTGGGTAGTGAGGCCACTTCCTACCAAAGAAGTCACTGCTGGGAGCCAGGGTTGAACCTATGTTTGTGCTCTTGTGAGGGAGACATCAGGTCCTGCACCCTTCCAGACTGATGTCAGGCCTCTCCTTGCCATCCCCCATATCATGTGTGCTGGGGCGAGGGGTACATCGAAGCCCAGCCTGGTCATCGCTGAATCACTCCTGGCATGTGAGTCTGATTCAGCTGGGCACTGAACGGCACTTCCCCCTGCTTGCCATGCTCACCGGGGGCTTGGCTTCGTTAGGCAGCTTGCCTCGTTTGTGGGCAGCGAGTGGGGGTGCCCCCTTCTCCCACTGGGCTGGGGGGTGAATAGGGGAGGCTTAATCCTGTCCCTGTGGCTGGGGGATGTGATGCTCCAGCCTGGTCCTTCCTGCAGGCCCTGGGGAAGGTTGTGGTCTCTGCTCTGTCCTGCTGCTGGTGGAAAGGCAGATGGGATGTGGGGTCCTGAAACCACCCTGGGGGCAAGCAGGGCCTTATTCATGTCTGAAAGACAAGCTCAGCATTGCAATCAGAGCTTGGGTGGTGCTGATGAAAGCCTGCCAGGGCCCATTTGGAGGGCTGGAGAAAGCAAGCAGTGTGAGCTGGCTTGGAGGGCTTGTCCATCATACCCCCCTGGGCCAGGGCAGAGGTCCCTCCATGCCAGCCCACCCCACCCAGGCAGGTCTCCCCAGCACTGGGGGCCAAGCCCTCGGGAGCTTTGGGTTATTTTGCATCTCAGTGGCTGATGAGACCCCCTGAGGCAAGGATGACAGAAGGACAGGAGGCACATCCAGCCTGTAGCGCTGCCCATGGAGGCTGGCATGGCAGGCCAGCCCTGAGGGTGCCTGCAGAGTGGTACTCCATCATCGAACCTCCAGTTGCACCCCTCGAATGAATGGCCTTTGCTCCGATTGCTGCTGCTTCTGGTTTCCCACCCATCCTCCTTTTGGTGAGAGTGGAGCAGCCGCAGTCAGGGTTGGGTGGCTCCTGCCCTGGCTGGGCTGGGGAGAACGGTGGCATACAACCTTCGTGCAAATCCAGGCGGTGCCAGGTTAATGGTGAGGCAGGGGAAGGGCAGGAGGTTCCTGCCCTGAGACGGAGGAGGAGGTAGGGTTGGCTGATGTCCCTCTGCCCTTTCTCAGCCAGCTCAGAAATGTATCCAATTTCGGATCATATCCCTGGGGACGTGGCTCTGAACACAGAGATCCCTGCAGGAGCTGCCAAGGGTCCTGGCTAGCCACGGGGCCAGCTTGGACCCCAGCTGAGATGCTCCAGTTTGGAGTTGTGCTGCTGGAGTTTCCCCCTCGCGATTTGGGAAGAGGATGACCATGGGGCTGGGGTATGTTCATGCCATCGCTTTTCCTTGTGCAGCTGGGTGGCCTTTGCTGTGTCCCCAGCCAGGTGTGACTTGTGGAGATGCTCAAGCTTCCCCTAAACCAGCCTCACCCCTGCAGCATGGGGCTCTATCTATTGCAAGACTTGCCTAAAAAGACCAGATGCACAGGGAGAACTTTGGTCCCGGGGCTCCTGCAGCACAAAACCCCTTCTGCCCCTGTGTACTGAGCAGCTGAGCTGTTTGCCACTCTGGGTCCCCATCCGTGGCACCGTGGCGGCCTGGCTGGTGCATGGGGCGGCTGGGCTCGCCTGTGCTGCCGCGTGTCGGGGTGACGGTGGGCGCCGCGTGCCAGGGGTGGGCCGGGGAGTTACCCTTCTGGCAGCGTGGGCAGCGCCTGCGTGTGCCGGCACAGTGCGTGGGGAAGGACGGACGGAGGAGTTTGCCATCTGGGCCTCCCTACTTCTCAGCTGTTGCTATGGCACTGTAGAGATGCTGCCAGGCAGGCGGTGGTGGCCTGTGTTTGTCACCTCTGGGCTCCCTTGAGGTAGGGAGATGTCCCTGGTATATAAAGCCTTGCTCCCTTACCCAGCCTCACCAGGGGAGAAGGGGGTTCCCTATGGTAAAATACCATTGATGGGTGGGTTTGCAGGGTTCATCTGTGCAGCTCGTAGCTGCCATCAACAAGGTGAGATGAATTCAGAGCAACTCAAAAGGAGATAGGTCGTTGCAGAGCACTGTGGGCTGCAGGATTTTGGGATCCCAGTTGCAGGGCCAAGGGGAAGCCTCTTGCCACCCGCCATGGACAAGAGCAGCCCCATCCTTTCCTACTGGGCTGTCCCACCAGCCCACGGCAGCATCCGCTCCATCCCGTGGGCCTGGCTGAGGGTGGGAGAGCCGCGTCAGAGCTGGGTACCATGGGGGGTGAGCGGCAGCGCAGCCCCCACTTGCTGCGGGGGAGCTGGGAGCATGTGGCGTGGGGGAGAGCGAGGGGGTGCTCAGAGCGGCAGCACCCCTTCGCTGCTGGCACGGGGAGAGCTGAGGCACCAGTGATGCCCACATGCGCCTGCATCTGGGAAGGAGGGAAGAAAGAAAGGGCAGGCATCTTTCTGGAAGGGCTGGGGGGAGCAGAACTTGCTTTGGTGGCCCAAACAACCAGGAAAGGGACTCCTGTGATGCTCAATTTGGTGACTGCTTCGGACAAGAGGGCACAAACTTTTCCCCTCTCTGTGAATCAGCCACAGCATGCCCAGTGTGCCTTGTGTGCTGCTGCTCTCCAGAGATGAAGGGGTCTGCATTCGCAAAGCCTCCCATCTCATCGTTCCTCCCATCTCCTGGTCCCGGAGGCTTTGGCTGCTGCAGAGACCATTCAAAAAGTCCCTAATTCAATCCAGCTTTGTTTTGCAGGGCTCTTGTTTATGCAGAGCGGCTGTCCTGAAGGATGTTAGGATGGGGGAATGGGTGCAGCACAAGGCTGTGAGGACAGAAGAGGGTGCAGAGATGTTTGGGACAAGGAGGTGGGCT